ACTGCAGCCAGTGGCTCCTTCTCTCTGCGCTGGGGTCCCACCAACTGTCTGCTCATAAAGCCAGTACCACTGGTGAGCTACTTCAAAGAGGACCTCTGGGTACACACCGCCTCCCTTGGCGGCCTCCTCTACCGCCATGCAGGCCTTCTCCAGCATCAGATTATCCTGAGGGCAGTGGGAAGAAAAGCAGAGGATGAAAAATACCAAACCAGAAACACCAGGAGAAGGTAAAACTACAACAGGAGAAAACTATAAGGCACTCTAAAAGAAGTGATGCTATGGACAGCAAACAGAAAACACGCTGTAGAATACCACGGCTATTCATGAAAGCCAAGAAAAATCCACAGAAATGCAGTTAAGGCTGTCCAGCAGCAAAAAGGAGCCAATTCCACCAATAAAAACCTGTTCTTGATGGTGGAAATCAACTCATGTGGCCATCCCCCACGTGATGCTCACCTGCTCCTTACACTGCACCAGAGCCCTCTGGATCTCATTTGGGTTCAGGGCATGGGCATGGGGCAGGCAGCTGAGCGCCAGTTCAGCAGCTGCTCGCACCATGTTGGAGTCTCTGGCCCGTGAGGCCCTGTCCGCCAGCGATGCCACCTCCGGCGGTGTCAGATGTCCATCCCAACACTCCACCAAGATATTCAAGGCTGCACTGCCAATCTCCATGGCCTGCCCTAAAGGTAAGAGAGGAGGTTGTTTGACTCCTGGCACGTCAGGAAAGCAAGAACTTTCCAGGGAGCAGTTTTTGGTTTTTGTGCTTTAGGAGCCACACAGGGAGAAAGCTGGCAGTGGGACTGGATACAAATAGAGGGAGAAGGGAAATGAAATTTTGAACACATTCAAAGAGCACATTCAAACACAAACATCCACCTCCTCAGCAGACTCCCAAAGGAGACCAGTCTCTGCGCTACTTCCCTTTCCCAAAGGGGACCCCTTTTGAGAAAGGGCCTGTGGCTCCAAGCCCTGAAGCACACTGCAGTACAAACAAGAAGAAACGAATCACCAACATTTTTCATGTCAAAACAAGCACTACAGTGTAAATCACTGGTTCCTAGTTTGTACTACAGGTTGTGCCACTGGCTTACATGGCTACCACAGCACCTCAGCATTGTCACATTTGGGCACAAACTCCCCTGCTTCCCCTCCAAGAGCAAGCTTCCCAATAAAATTGTGCTGTAACCTGTGATCCAGGAGACATGGGACGAGTAAGTTCGAGAGAGCCAGTTGGGAGACACAAAGTTGTGCAGCCCTAGTGCATAGAGCCCGATCTCGAAGGCGCAGAGGTGAAGGTTGCGGTGTGGTCCCTGGTGCCCACCACTGGAGGAAGGGTGGGTGAAGATGGAGGTGCTGCTATTTCCACCTGCTTTGATAAGGACTGTCTTGGCCAATTCAAAGTAGAAGTGAGCAGCTGCCTCCGAGGGCTGGTTTGGGACATGAGGAGCATGGCTCTCCAGTCGCCTGCCTTTATACCTGAAAGAAGATGGAGAAACCTTTCAGAGAGCAATAGGTACCCCAAGTTCAGTAGCTGGGGCCCAGCTCTGTCTTTAGGATCCAGAGGAAACAAACCAAGCTCTCCTAAGGAAGTTACCTCCCTCACATCATGCCTGGAGGTTGTCTCTGGGCATTAGCATTACTCATTACCTGCCAACTTCCACAGTCTTTGCACGGGCTCCCCCGCTGGCTCTCCTACTGCCACTAGAGGAGGAAGAACCCAGCGAATCACTTGAAGAACTGCTGATACTGTCACTGTCCTGTCCTCTGCCCCAGGATGTTGTAGCCCATCCTCCACGTAGCGGCCGCCGACTGAGTGTTGGAGAGCTGTCAGAGGTGGTTTCAGGAGCACTGCTGTCAATACTAGCCATGCCTGCAACACCAAAGCCAAGACAGCAACATCAGCAGGCAATCCCTACACCCAGGTCACCAACAGTCCTGTGTAAGGAAAGCCATGCCAGTGGCAGTCAGCCTACCAGCTGCCAGGCATTTAACTTCTTTGCAAACTACAGGAGATGGAATTAGCCCATTTGGCCATTTTGCAGTTCCCTGACTAAAAAGCAGAAATATCTAAGCAGTATCTTGATTTCCCCCTTCGCACCATTCCAGCCCCTCAATCCATCTTTATAGCAGAGTATAACAACAAGAAATAAATATGCATACAAGGTCAAGTCCCATATTTTGTATATGAAGCAAAAGGGAAAACTGGAATAAACAAAGTTTATTCTTCCATGCCAAAGGCCTCAGAAGCAAGGCCTCAGTGGAAGTCAAAGGCCTCCACTGCTTCTGTAATTTATTATAGAATTATTATTACATAATTATTATTATTTCCTTTAGGAAAGGCTGACAGGCAGAATAAAAGAGCAGGTCAATGACTGAAACCCCAGCAGGGTGGCTAGCACAGCACGCAGCTGCATCCTACCTGTGTGTTTCTTCTTCTGCCTGACAGGAGAACCCCAGCATCTTCCATTGTAGCCTCCGCGGCTGCCAAGCGCCAGGCGACTAGGAACCTTCCCCTCTTGTTTCAAGACAGTGGATTCCCCCACTGGCTCACAGGGGGACCTCTGAGAGCTCTCTGCATAAACAAGACGGTCACAAGGTAAACATGACTTGTTTCTGTACCTTTAAAACCAGATGGGCCAGCCTAAAAGTACGAACATTAAAAGACACAGTTTTTTTAAAAAAGTGAGAAGCAAGTTGGTATCATTTCTCCTTCAGGATTAAACATATCATCAGATACCAGGTCAAGAGTATTTAAGCTTAATAACTCAAAGTTTGTTTTAAGTTTTAGAATAACAGTGCTCCAGCAACCTTGGTTGTATTGTGTTAACTCTCAACCACTACTGATCTCTTTGCGAAGAGTTAAGAGATCATCTGCTTTCCACCAGATGCTGTTGCATGTGATGCTTGCCAGTAAAGCAGGGGCATATCTTGAAGGAAATCACACCCCATTTATTGTCATTGTAATTACTATTCTCAAAGGAAGGCACCTAACTTGGTGCATAAACTTTCTGAAATGCTGTGATACAAAACTAAAAGATGCAGTCGCAGTAGCTTTAGGCATATCCAAAACAGCTAACAACTGACCCAACACAGGAGAGCCTGAAAGGTAGTCTGAACTCCTATGCAACAAGGTCAACAGAAATGGATCCAGCCAAGCAAGTAATGGGAGAATGACATTCTGGTAACAGTCATAATGGTCAGGTGCAATAATGTAAATCACTTTCAACCACTTTCTGAGATTAACAAGAACTGAATATCCTTTTGCACTGATAGCCAAAGGGTTTCAACACAGCCCTTCCAAAGAACCTCTTACCCTGCGCACTCTTCTCCATGAAGTTCTCGGGACTGCTCTGCACTGCGGTGCTCATGCTGGCTTGCTGAGTGACAGAAGTCCCTGGAAGCTGCTGGATAGCTGCCGTGGACTGGGCAGCATGCTTGGAAGGAGATTTCTGACTCGCTACGGTAGGTTTGCTGGATGAGTAGAAGGAACTCAGAGTCTGTGGCTTGTGTGTTTGACTCTCTCTGTCTAGGAGTTTGTCTAAAATCTTTAATGGCAAGAAAAAAATATAAAACTTAGTAGGAGAGTGAGAAAACAGGCACTGCACAGAGGCAGAGAGAGGAAAGTTCAAATCAGCTTCCTGATGGAAAATAAATTCCATTTGTTTGGATAATAAAGAACACATTTGTCTACTTTCTAGAGGCCCCTTCTTGTGCTGGAGATCAGTCATGCACAGTTGAGGGCCATTTGGCTTGCATTACCAGGGAAGCAGATTCATTTGTACTCAGTAACAGCCCCATCTTTAGTCCAAAAAGCCACATGGAAGGCACCCAACACATACAATGCAACAGTAATTCTGCCACACCAAGCACAGAACAGGGCTGTGTATGCATGTAGTTATTTGCTTGCTATCTAAAAATTACAATTACTGAGACTTTCAGACACTAGAGAAACCGCCAGAGTACTCTCTCTCATTCCTGGTTATTACATAACAGGGGAGCAATTCATGAACACATTTTATGGGTTTGTCCATTTCCACTGTTCATTCTGCACATGAAATGAACACTATAAGTGTGATCAATCTATTTGTAGACAGCTGATACTGCAGGTGTTCTCTATTAATCCTTGTAGCAGATAAACGTATAGTGAAAGAGCTTCTCCCATAGAAGTCAGAAATAAACACTAGTTGGGTAAACCTGTTTCTGACTATAAAAGATAATAAATTCTTCCTGAAGCTCTAACAGTTTTTGGTACTGGGGTAGGGGGGGACGCAGAGTTGTGCTCTCTCTCTCTCTCGCATAGACAGTTAAAGGATAGGTGGATTGAACTTGTAAATACAAGAGGTAAGAGTGATTAAGAACAGGGGCTTTGCTAGTTATATTGTTCTGTGACATTTCTGTAGCAAAACCAAATCAATGCCCAAACCACACACACAATGCACCCCAAAAATCCCTGTGAATAAGCAAAATGCAGTGAGAATGCATTTCCAAAGTGGAGCTTCAGCAG